AAGCTGATCTGTGATGCATCTTTCTGCATCCCTTGATCTTTATGTAAGAATGCTTCTTACATCTTTATAATTTTTCCAGGAAAACAGAAGAGCAGAAGCCAAAGGAACAGAGGCCAAAAGCTAGTGAAAACAAGCCTGTTATGAATGAGTGAGAGTGAAAGATGTAGACTTATTTTATTATATATGGAATGTTGTTGAACAAGGCTTTTAATGAAATGCTGCTTGACATTTGAATGCGTCGTTTTGTAAGAGATTTCACTTTTCTTTTCCAACTTCGTCATTGTTCCCAGTCCTGATTTTTGCTTTGTGAGATAAGAACCGGGGGTTGANTTTTGGGGTTTTTTGGGGGGGTGGGGGGATCAGATGCTTCTCGATTTGACTTCTGCGATCTAAACTCAATTTCGTTTTTCTGGTACTATAGATGTAACTGTTTCTAGATGGAAGGTTATAGTTAACTAAATTATTTCTTATTTTTGTGGTGTGCTTTTTCTTTCTTCCACGTAATTCTACTCTGTCTTAGGGAGGATATTACAGCCGTTAGTGGCTACTGGGTAGGTTAAAAGGGGGTTAGTTATCCGAGTAATTACTAGATGGCAGGGGTACGATTGTCGGTCCAGCATTGCACGATGATGTGTTCTTATTAACTATCCGTAAACCTATTTTCTTTTTAGTCCGTGTAAAAAAGAATGACCTCTTTCCTTATTTGGAAACAATTTAACTTTGCAAAATGATTTATAGCCACACAAAATATATGTGTCTCATTTTACACCATAAGATCAAAAGTCTTTTCTCTTTTCTTAAACTCTGTGCCCAGTCAAATGGGAACGGAGGGAGTAGTAGGTACTGTCAGCTGTGCTAGTAGATATTTAGGGTTTGTTGGTGCTCTATAATTGGAGAGATTAGCAAGAAAACATGTAATCATTTTGGAGATTGATGTAGTTGGCTAATTGGAAAAGTGCTTAAAGGGGTCATGTACAAAAAAGCTACTGATGGTTGTGGATGCTCTTTGACGCGACTGTGAAATCGTCACTTAATAGGCTGAATGGCACCTTTGACAGAAATTGAAAAAGGAGCTTTTTGGTGTGTTTAAAGATGCGTCGTTCCATGTGATAATTGACATGAGCCACCTTCTTTTGTATTGCTTTCATTCCTTTATTGTTAGTCCCATTCATGGTTGCGGTGCGGTCCTTTCGGAGTTTATTTATAGGTTTAGAATGATATTGGATCTAATCAGAAATCAGGAGGAAATGGATGTACTCCATTTGTCTAGACTTGTTTTGGGGATAATTTGACCTGTATGAGCTACAAAAAATGGTGGAAGACACTTGTTCGACTCATTTTCAAAGACAATTGCAGGTTTCTTCTGTTAGAGCACCTCTACTTTTTAGTTAGATAGATGAAATTGCACACAAAAGTATTATAGGAAGTAGTATATTGCTCAGAAAGAAGCTTATGGTTCTCAGTCCCTATTCAAAAGATGAAAGGTGTATTATTACTCCACCCTAAAAAGGCTAAGTGGTTGGTCGGAACTTACTCCAAAGAAAAAGAACTCTAACGCATCGAGTCCTCATTTGGATACCTTTACTTAATTACAGTGAATAATAATTAAAATGTTAACAACAGACATTAGAGACATCACTTTTTTGACATGAAAAAAAGCTGAGAGGGAGAAAGGGGTATGCAAAATGAGTAGGTATCGAGTGGTTTCCCATGTGATTCATCTAACTCCCCCAACCACACTCTTCGTTACTTTTTTTTTCTATTGACGGTCTTCTCACAAAGAATGAAAAGCAATTAATCCTTTCCTTTCTCCACGCACTACATAACGATAAAAAAATGTTTAAGAGCTTGCCGACTATTAAATGATGTTTACGATACAATAACAATTTCCTTATTTATTTAAAGAGTCCATTGATCAAATAGTCACTCAAATATGTAAAATTATCTATTAAAGTTATTTTTCTTTTGTTTGTAACAACAAAGTCACTTAACTATACCTGTGGCACTTATAATTGAGAATGAAAGAAAAGAATAGTTTTATANATATATATATATTCTTGAGTATTGTGCTTAATTATATTATTATTATTATTCCAACATTATATATGCTAGAAAATTAATTTTTTAATTTTTATTTTATAAATAAAATTTATTTTCTCTATAGATAAGTCCATAAAGTAGATTAAAAAGAGAAAATAATAATATTAAAAAAGTAAAAAAAAAAGAAGAAGATAAAAGTTAATAATTAGAGGATAAAATAAGTATTTGACAATCAAAAGTTTGAGAAATCTGGTTGAGTGACCTTCTGAGTGCTAAAGATAAAGTTAAATGATTTTTCTGTTACAAACGAAAGAATGATGACTTTACTAGATAATTTCAGATAGTTGAGTAACCATTTAACTAATGGACACATTATTTAAACGTATTTTCAAAGTACTTTCAGGGATCGTTTGGTTGGAATACGATTTATACCGATATAAGTTATGCAGGTATAAGTTATATTAAGATAAGTTATGCTGGGATTGTTGTTTATTCATTGTTTGGTATGTTGTATTAAGAATGACAATTGCATAATTTCTAAAAAGAAGGTATAAGTTATACCGGTGCTAATTACCTCACTTTCTATAAGGTATAAGTTATCCCGGTGTTAAAAATAACACCGGGATAACTTATACCTGGTTTGCTAACCAAACAGAATATTAAGGTGGTATTAAATTTTTATATCACCCTTATACCTTCTTATACCTCATACCAAACGACCCCTCAGAGTTTTAGTTATACTTATCATAGTTATAGTACGTTTTGCATAATACTTAAAATATACAAATAATTCAATGAACCGATATGAAAAGCAAAAAAATTATATGATTTGACTCTCATACTGAGTTTTAGTTATACTTGCCATAGTTATTTGAGTGAACGTTTACATGCTCCCTTTTTCCTTCTTCTTCTTCTTCTTCTACGACTACTACTTTGCAGATGAGTTAATGATTTATTGAGTAGCCAACGCGTTCGTTTAAAGAAAGCTTTTCTGTCGTTCCCTCCTTTATTATTTTCTTTCTTTTTTGTGTCAGAAGTAAAAAGTTAGAGACAATCAGAAACTTTATTGTTCGTAAGAACAAGCGTGCATTTATTCCACACTGGATTTCGTTTCATATATACTATCACACATTGTAGATTAGTCAATTTTGTCTCTATTTGCTATGCCATAATTAGAATTGTAACGTGCGGGTATTGTAGAATACATGCATCATTTCTTTATTTTTTAATGGAACAAATTATTAATTTCTTAATGCTAGTGCTAGAAAGGCTGGAGCATAGAAATTGACAACTTGATGCTATAGGAGCAAAAAGGCTTTAATTGGAATTCCTTTGTAGTCTATATATAGTTGTTTCAACAGCATGCGTTCAAATCACAATTAAACATAGCAAAATGAATCAATTAGTCAAATTGTAAATTACATGGAAAGAACTTAATTGGAGATGATTTTATGTGATTCGCTAATCTTTTGTACATTCTCTGGACTAATAACATAGTACAAAAGCATTCATAAAGCTAGCTAATAAGTAAAGTTAATTGATGTTTTACTGATGTGAAATATTACCAATAGAGTACTTGGAATACTGTTACTTGCGTATTTCATTTTCTTTTTTAAAAATAAAACAAGAGCAAGTTTGTCCCCGATATGATGGCTGAGAAATCAGAATTAGAATCTCATTGTTACATTATTGAATTATGTAATTAGAATCGCATGGTTACAAGTTCGAATTATTGAATTGTGTAATGTCACACATTGAATATTCAACGGGAACCAAAAGAGCTTATGAATATTTTGAATCACTATAGTTTCAACTCAGAATTAGATGCTTATACTATTTCACACCTTATTATATCGCACTCGTAAATTATATTGAAGTCTTTCGCTCATTGTAATGTGGTTTTAGGTTGAATTCTTTAATATAGTTCATACAAATAATAATTTGAGGTAATTGACATGTTGAGTTTCTCTCTTTTCTTCCTTTGTTAATCATGTAAAGAGAAAAGGAAATGTCTGTCTTCTAGGGTCGTGCATAATTTGATAAATATCGAATTACAGTATCAAAATCGAAAAAATTAATATTTGGTGTTCGATATTTTGGTATTCGGTATGTTATTTGGTTGAAGTTTAAAAAAAATAAATTGGTATTAGGTATGGTATTTGATATTTTAAAATGAAATACCGAAATACCGTTACCGTACCGAAATATATATTATATTACACAATACACATATTATTAATTATAACATAAATATAAAAAATCTGAAATTTTAATTTTCTTTTTTCTCTAAGTTCATCAATTAACTCTAAGCAAGTAACAAAATATTTCTAATGATCAAATTTATTCCTTTACGTACAGTTTTCTCTCTCTGGGTTGATATTTGCTGGTTTTGGACAAATTTTTTGTCAACAAACGTTTTTAGTTTTGTACTTTTGAATACTTTAGTTACGAATATTGCAGTTTTTAACTCTATGCATTAATTAGTATTCAAACCAAATAAACCGAAACGAATAAACCGAAAGGAGAAAAATCAAATCAAACCGAATTTAATTAGATATAATATTAATATAATATTTTTAAAAATCGAATATCGAAAATACCGATTTGAAATATCAAAATAGCATATGGTACCGAGCGACAGAACACCCTTTGGCGTCTTCATTATTAGTTAGTGACTTTTACTCTCTCTATTTCTTCAACAGCCCTCGCCACACGGCCAAACCCAAGCAGACGCATAGAGAGATAGAGAGAGATAGAGAGCACATTCTAATTCCCTATATCAACGCCGCATTCACGATTCACAATCCGACAACTTTTCTTCTTCCTCTTTGCTTAAACTAAAATAGAAACAACAGTCCAGATTCTTCTCCTTTTTCTTCTTCTTCTTCCCCATTTCTTCTCCATCTTCCTTTTTTCAATTCTCCACTCATCTACCTTCTCTCCTGGAGAACAAAAAAAAAATGTCTGAACTGTGCTTATCAAACACTTGTATTAAATTTTTTGGTCTCCTCATCTCCGACTTAACTCTCTTCTGTTACTTCATTCTCTCTCACCCTCTTTACTTCTCTTACTTCATTTTCTTCTCTCCTTACCTCCTTAAACTCCTCTCTTTCCTCTCCCCTCTCTTCATCACCACTTCCCTTTTGCTCCTCGCCCTTCTCACCACCTTCTCCCCAACTAATTTCATCACCCATGAAAAGTTCAAATCTTGTACAGAAAATTCTGAGTCAGAAAAGGTAAGTATTCTGCTCTCTGTTTATCATGCTGTAGTGGAAGTGTTAAAGTCACAGGGCGATGCGAAAAACGACGAGTTCTCTCGTTTCGAGGATTTTGAAGTTTACAAGATCGTGTTTCAAGAAAACCCAATTGAATTCTTGGACTATATATCAGCTGAAGTTGGTGAAAAATCAGTTCTTGATTCTTCAGTTCAAGAAAAAGATTCTGCCACTGCCACAGAAAATTCAGGTGAAATGGAGGAGAAGACATTGGAAGATTTCTTCAAAGAAATAGATGAGTTCGAAAGCAAGACTTGGAATAGTGATAATGTGGAAAGGAAGAAAATTGAGGCATTGGGCACAAAGGCCGATAAAGTTGTTGAAAAACTAAAGGAAGAAATGATAGTAATAGGAAATGGATCCAAGGAGGCTGCTGCTGTTGCAGTTGATAAAGTGAAAAAGTCACATTCTTGGAGACTTGGAGAAAATCTTGATTACAACAAGTCTAAAATAATGGAGCAGAAATTGGGGACTTATGGATCTATGAGGAAAGAAAAAGAGTGGACAAGGACATTGGCATGCAAACTTTATGAGGAAAGACACAATGCTAATGATAGTAGTAGTGGTGAAGGGATGGATTTGTTGTGGGAAACTTATGAATTAGACTCAGCAAAGAGCAAGGTCAAAAGGGATAATAATAACAAGAAGAAGATGAAGAAGAAATCAGGAGAATTGAAGAGCTACAAAAATGATGAAGAAGAGGAAGAAGAGATGAACGGACAGTTGTGTTGCTTACAGGCTCTCAAGTTCTCAGCTGGAAAGATGAATTTAGGTATGGGAAGGCCTAATCTTGTTAAGATTTCTAAAGCAATTAAAGGGTTTGGATGGCTACATCATGTCAGCAAGAAAAACAAGGTCCATTGTGGAGAATGATTTTAGCATAGTTAAATTAATTATGCTTATCTGAGGAGTAATTATATTAGCTTCAAAAAGAGATGTTTGTAGTAGTTTATTAGTATATGTTTCCAAGAAATTAGACTACTTAACAAGTAAATACTTTTTGTTGTAGCTATGCTGTAACAATTAATCAAATCCTATCTAATTATCCAAGATATTTCTGATATTGCTCGGGGAAAAAAGTGAAAAATTCCAGGTAGGGGAGAAGGGGTGAATGTTGATAAAGCTTCTAATTTCTTTATGAGTTGTTTCTGTTGAATGTTCTCTAGTTATTCTTGGCATGCTTGTTGGTTGATGGATTGATATGTTCCCCCTTTGCCTAACCTTTGGCATAAAATGAGATTTGAATATCACCAGATGATGACACTATTTTTGTGGTCACATCTGTCTATATGAGGAAGGTAAAAGTTTCACTCTTCTGCTAGCTTGTACTATATATTACTTTTGCTTTTTCACAGCATCTGCAGTTTTCACTTTTGGGAGATAAGTAAAAATTACTCCATATGGATTTGACAGAAGGTAGATTCCAGTACTCTCTCGAAGCTCTATGATTTTAATGCTATCTCACAACAGTTAAGAGCCGGGGCTGGGAGAGGGGATTCAGAGGCGGATCTAGAGCACAACCAACGGGCTCACAAGAGTTTTATAGCTTTTATGCGGACCCTGTATATATTTATACATATATTACCGTGAATTCAATTTTTATCGAATCTTAACTCGAGATCACTGTAGGAACCTATAAACTTCAAATCTTGAATCTGCCGGGCTTTCACCAGGAAGCTCAAGAATTTTTTTGTGAAAATAAATGGAAGAAAGATAAGTTCAAATTGTTCACACCAGTTGACAAGAGTGTGTAAAGAATGCTGTAAATTTGTAATGGATATTTGACAAATAGGCCATTACACCTTATCTTTCCAAATAGTTACTGATTATGCAATTAGGCCAATGTATTCGCAAAACCTTTATCTCATAGATGGAATCAAAGGAAGTGCCTATGTATGTCAATGTGTGTGTGCATATATGCATGTTAAATTTGAATTAGCTCCTTTGCAATTTCTTTGTGTTTTGAAGTAGGGAGCAATAACTAGAACAATAAGGTTTCGTTTGGACAAAATTAGAGTTGAAGTTAGATTTTTTTTATTTATTTGGAGTTTTGGTTAAAAACAGAATTTATAGAAGTTTTCTACTTTTGAGCAAACAACAGTGTCTCTGTTTGGTTTAATTATTTCACAAATACCTATGCCATAGTAATCTAATCTGGTCGAATGGTCTACAGACTTCGTCGTTCAATTTTGGAGTCAACAATTTCATCACTCACTTCAATGTGTATGTTTGGACGTTGGTATATGGGTATTGTAAAAATTAGAATAATGTTTAAGCAAAGAATATGATTTCAAGTTGAGTTAAGTGATTTCTTCCTTTAAGCTAAATACAAGAAAAGTTTTCACGAATTTGCCTCTAGGATAATTAAGCTTTGCACAAACAATACTAGAATTCTGAACAATCACTGAGAATATCAAATTATTTGATGTAAATTTGGTAAGGGGATCAAAATAATCAAGAATGGGCCAAGGGACAGGTAATTGCAACCGTTTTTTGATTTGGCAATAAAGCTTTTAAGTTAAAAAACCATGCTCTATTCGCAATAGGCTTATCCCTAAATTCAGGCACCATGTTTGTTCATAACATAAAAAATCAAAATATAACCTGATTAAAATTTGTTACTTTGCTGTTAATTCTGTTCATTACATTGCTCGAATCTTTAATTAAAATTTGCTTGCACTTTTGAAAATCTCCAAAAAGTCCTATGTATCCAATTGCATCAAGTGAAAGAGCCCAGTTTAATGCTGAGACAATTTTTCCAAGGCCTAGTTGTTGTGGCCTTTATTAAAAATTGAACCTCCAAAAACGGCCGAAAGTCTAAATTGAAAAAAAAAAAAAAAAAAAAAAAGAAGCCTTCCCCAACTAGTCTAGCAAGTATGTGTTCACCAATAAAATTTCTCTAGTTCTTTACAGAGCATGAAAGCTAATACTCTAAAATCTACCTCTATGCAATAATGAAACAAGAGAGCAGAGAGAAAATGTGGAATTGTAATATGAACTATCAACTTAAGTCTATGCTCTATACTATTACTACTACTAATGTAGCATGCTAACACTATTATCCCAAAATATTTTGTCTGAGTATGGTATTCATTAAGGTACTGAAATCTACCATATTACAATTATATGCATAAAACCAACTTACCTATTTTGTTTATGAATGATCCAACTGTAATACTAATGAATGAAGGTATTATTACTTGCTGGCTACTGCTATATAAAACAAAACTGTGCAGGTAGAAGACTAGTCCTCAGCAGCATGTTCAAGAATCCATAGAACCTTTAATTTGCTTATTTAGTTTCTCTGCTCTCTTACTCTATTATGATATCATACTTAGTACGAAGGACCTCGCTTTTGGCTAATTCTTCTGGCTTTTTCCCAGCACTGCTGCTGCTTTCTGTTTTTGGAGAAATATCCAATACTTGCTTCATCACTAGTGTCCTTTGAATTATGATAGTATCCCCAATTTTCAATCTGTGGCGAGCTGCATACTTCTTCCACTCCTTTCTAAGAAATCTTCCCCTCTTATTTTCCACAAGTTCCATCACCCATACTTCTCCAAACTGACTATTTAGAGTTAGTGTTGCAGGTGCAGCAATATAAGGCTCGAGTCTCACAAGGGATACACGTAACCCATCCCTACCGTAAATATCAGATTTTGTTAAAATCTTGCGAAGCACCAATTCCTTCTTTACATATTCACGGACAGTTTGGACTCTGCAAATATATGCATGGAACAACAAATCAATATTCACTAAAACATTTCACCACTGTTGTGGGGTTCATATCAAACAAGTTTAAATTAAATTTCGCGTATATAACGCAAAATTTTCGGGCCTAGCTACTTCAAGATTCGGTCATTTAAAGAATAGGGAAAGGTTGAAATCATAGAAATGTGTTAATCTCCTCACTGTAGCATAAAGAACAGGGGAAACAAGTAACAACATACTTGTTAGAATCGGTGCTTTCATTAAGTATATCTTGTGTATCTGTGATCGGGTACAGTACAGGTACAGCATCCATTTCTTGATTATTTCTTGAAGGATAATGGACTTGTTTCCCAGAAACAACCCTGCATGTTGAATTGGACTTAATCTTTCTCTAATGCATGCACCATATGTATGTAATTAATAAACAGATCGATGTAGTGACATACTTGGAGTGATTGATTTGGAGATGAGAACCAGTTCTGGACTTGTCATAAAGAGTGTTATGTTGATCATCAGAGAAGTTATTGGGGTTTTCATTCTTTTGATATTCTTCTACCACCTGTTTTGATGCGCGCCTCATTATTGCTTCATTACTCTTTTGATCCCCTTCAAATTGATTCTCAACTTCTCCTTTCCTTTTTTCATCACCCATTTTCAACTTCTTGATTCTTGTTTTTGGCTACAACTTACTTAAGAGGGAAAGATATGGACAGAGAAAGCAGGAAAATGGGAATTTATACGCTATGTATAGCTCTGTTTTTCTGTTAAGTACTTCGCTTTCTAATTTCTCATTTTCGAAATTACACCCTTTCCGGCAACTAAGCTTTTATTTTTATGTAGTTTTTTTTTCCTCTTAAAAAGAAAAAAGCCAATTGACAGGTTAAAAAAATGCAAGAATTATTGCCAGTGGCGGAACCAACTATGAGTTCGGCTGAACCCAGTAACTTTGATTCAAATCATGTATTTATCTTTAAAAAGTTCATTGAATATATATAAACTATTAATTTAGAACTTAATAACCTAAAATTTTTAGAATTATGAACCCATAAGCTCAAAATCCTGGATTCTCAAGAGTTATTTTTACATTTTTTCTTGATGTATGTAGTATCTAACCTCTAATTAAAGTAAGTCAAAAATGTTAAACAGGGATATTGCATAAGCCTTCATACACAATATTCATATAAACAAAATAAGTAGGTAGTGTTAGCATTGAAGTTACTTTAACGATGACAAATTAAATGTAAACTATCACAACCAAGCTCTATAAATTCGAAGATTTCACATAATACCACGCAGCTTAATCCTCAAAAAACTTAGGGGTCGTTTGGTAAGAGGTATTAAAAAAAAAATATAAATATTAGCTTTGTGCATTACTAATACCTTTGTTTGATATATATATATATATATATTTATGTATAACTGATACTTGTTGTAGTTATACATCATATTTGATATTTCCTATGTATAATTAATACGTAACAAACCATGGCATTAACAATACAACGATTTTTAATACTTGCATAAACATGATTAAAGAAACAATTGCCCCTCAAATCCCTCAAAACTAATACTTGAATTTTTCTCTTCTATTTCTCCCTGATCTTTATTTTTCATTGGTAATTTTTTCATAATTTAATAAGTTGTTTGTGACGGAAGAAGAGGTGAATTTCTCTTCTATTTGTTCAAAATTTGCTTCGCCGGAACCTTCTATTTAAAAAATGTTTTGGAGAAGTAATCCAAATCCCGCAAAATGACCAGAACCAAAGCTTCAGCCTTTTGCTCGAGGTAGATGTTACTTCTCATTGTTTAAAGATTTTCTTATTTCGTTATCTATATAGCTATAAAGTCTAGGAGTTAGGGCGGGGCGTGTTTGGTGTAATGAATAATCATCTTAATTTAAAGATATGATCCAAAGGTTGAATTGCTGATATATAATTGATGTTTTATAATTCAATATCGCACCAAAAAGGAGGGAGGGAGGAGGGTGATTTGTGCGGTGTTCAATTTTTGCGTGCGTTAGATTATAGAAGAACTTTGTTCTTCTATGCGTTCCTTAAACTACAGTTGCAGAATAAGTAATGCAGAAAGTAAAGAACACGAGTATTTTTACGTGAAAAATACCTAGCTCAAAAGGTGAAAAAATCACAACTTACTTCCCAGCA